TTGAATGTTTATGAGAAGTTAAAGATTAGTCTAGATAATTAAGTTTTAATGATTTAATTGTAATTAGTTGTTTCACAATGTACAGGGAAATGTTTGACAAAATACGCACAAAAATAGTAACAGACACTTTTTTCAACTATTTTATCTTAACCTATAATGAACATTTGAAATTGCCTCTTGTAGACTTATACAGGGTGTCCCAAAAATGTCCTCCGACCCGGAAATGTGGCACTCGGGGGGTGAATTGGAACAACTTTTTTCTTAGCAAAAATTTAAACTGAGGCTTCGTTTACGAGATATTAATGAAAAACCGCGACCAATCAGAGCGCGAGTTTGCCAGCCGAGTTCCCGCGCTAGCGGTGGCTACGCGCTACGCTTGTACTACGATGCTCCGAACAAGTAGGTCACCATGCATCACAGGAAACTGCGTATAATAATAGCAAATAAACAAGACGTAACAAATAAAATCATACTTTTTATCATTTGTCGTTTGTTATTTAAAGAGATTAATGAATGAAACGTAAATGTAGGCAAATTATGTTTAACGTAAAAAGACGAATGCACATTTACATTTTTGTAAATTCCTTTTTACGAATTTGTAAATTTCCTTTTCAAATAACGTGTGAACGAAAAGGTAATGTAACAAAGAATAAACGAGAAGTGATTGTAGTTCGGTGAAATTAATAAAACAATAATGACCAATAAACTGAATAGAACTCACCCTTACGGAAATTCACCTGCAGCGTAGAAACCTGCGTCAGTAGGTCAGTGTACCGAGCCTGGGCATCGACGGACGAAATGGTTTATGGCAGGGTAGAGTCCATGCCACTGGTGATCGCAGGTATGCGACACCAGCCGACGTTAAGAGTTGCAACGTCAAGTGCCGCCGGGTTAATCCATCGAATATGTATTCACTTCACTGCACTGCACTAACACTGATCACCCGACACAATCACTTAATGTATTTTTAATCCAACGTGTTGTCACTACGTTAGGAAAATTCGTATCCCCGGAAAGGGCCGATTGGTTTCAATTTTTCAGATGTTTTACGTAACCGAACACTTGCACACCAACACCCGCATATCCGTTATTGTGTACGTACCACCATAAGATTCCGTAATACTCCCGTGAACTGAACATCTCTGTCGCCCGATTGCTAACCGACTGACAGAATTTTTCCGAAAGGGCTTCCTCTACCCCCAAGTAGTTTCCCATCGTTACATTGTGAGTTCACTCTCACCACGACAAGATTTAGGTAAAACGAAACCAACGGTTCTAGGATAACACGTGCTTTGCAGAAGTGCAAGGGAAGAACCGTCGCGCAGTTTCTCCAAGGCGCCGTAGCCCGTTAATTTATTGCCAGGGTACCCACTGCTTCGAGATAGAAAACAGACGTCACGTGCATCGGCTTGAAAATGTCCGAAATGAGGAGGCCCTGACCGACCACCCTTGTAGAGGCCGGAGTGGAATTTTTGGTTCTTTATGGCTCAATTTCTTCGGCCTTTTTTTTTTAGTATTCCGTCAGATATCTCGGAATTTATTAGAAATATAAAAACCGTACAATTTGCAATATTGTGTTTGTTTTGATATTGA